AAGGCGAAACGGACACCAGGAACGCCAGCAGCAGACTTAGCACTGATAAAAAAACCTGGGAAATTGTAAGCTCCATAGCCAGAGAAACACACCAGGAACTGCATCTGATCAGGGCATCTAGGTAAGCAGTCTATAACGAAAAAAAGATGAACGACAGAAAAAAAATGAAAATTAGCAATGAAAACCTGCAGGGGTTTGAAAGCCAAATTAACGCTCATCAGTGCTTTGACTGGGCGCCAGGCCATCATGGCGATCATCATGATCGGGAATATACTGATCGTATTGCCGGACATGTACATCATGAACATATTCATCGGTAAGCTTTTGATTGGCTGTAGCGCCATGTCCCAAGCACGTTTCTTCATCAGATGATGCGTCTGCTCGTTGCTGCTACTTTGCTCAAACTATACCAAACTAGTTTATCTCACTTTGAAAAAAAAAAAAAAACTGCTAAAATTTTCCTAACAATATGCCCATCGACAGCTTTAAAAAAACAGATAAGTTTGCTGAACCTATCGAATGTTTTTAACAGCTATGTGGCTACCTCCTAATATGTCTCATACGGAGTCCGCGTCTTTCGGAAACATCCAATCGAATTAACTCCAGATCTGCTTTTGTAGACTGCTGTTGTAGCAAAAGGAACGTGCGGTGAATGAACACAAAATGGCGACGAAAATGTTACAGTTCTAACACTGCGCTATAAAATGTTACCAACTTCAGGCATAAACTTTACCATCGGCAAACACTTGAGACAGGGAACTACTTCAGCATGCAAACAAAGCCAAGAAAAGAAAAAGAAACCAGCTGAATGGGAGTGCCAGGAGGAGAGTAACCCGGAGGATTCAGAGACGCATCCACGCTGCTTCTTACTGTTCGAGTCGAGCCAGCCGAGTAATCCAATTTCCATTTCGCCAAAGACATACTACGCGCGTCTGCAAAATGCAGTCAGAAATCGCAAGAAATCGTTCTACCACCTTGTTTTGCAGACAGCGAGGGTTTGCAGAAATCCATGTAAAAATGAAGTTCCAAATCGAGGCAAATCTAGGAAACTGATCTCCATTAATCTAGAACTCCCGAACTTTGCAATTTTTATCACCTTCCATTGTGAGCCAAGAAGCCAGCTTGAAATATACTCTGTCTTTACAGATCTGAACAGCAAGCAATCTGGATATTTTATATCATCCATTACCTAATCAAGTATTTTGCCTCACAATCGGTTTCGAGTCATCTCAAATTTTGCACTCAGTTCCTAGCTGCTAGACTCCTCTCCCACTACACGAATAGTACTCTAGGCACAGCCGAAGATAGCTGAAGTGGTACTCCAGATCAAAACCATCACCAAAATTACATCGTCTAAGCAGCTCTGCTTCTTTTTTTATTCATTGAAATTGAAAGTTAATTTCAATGATTTTTAGTTTGTAATTAAAAACGAGGAGGTATAACATGACAAAAATGGAAATTTGTCGATGGTCTAATGGGAGCATCGCTGCTCAAAGTATCAAAGTAAACAATAAGCCAACAAACAGTATTGAAACCGAATCAAGTGGACAACAAATCAAAAGGTTTATGCAAATTTCAATGACCCGCTGGCAACACTAAAGAATTTAAAAATATACAACCCAAGCTGGAACGCACCAGGCTTGCTGGTGCGATCATGCGTTTTTGCACTAAACTCGCAGGTCGCTAGTAGCAGGAATCGCCGCACCGCAGCCAAACACATCGACTCATACTGGCCGTGCTTTGGTTTCTTCTCGACTTGCAGCAGAATGGGCATCGGTTGGGATGAGGGTGTTGCACTATAGGGCCGCATGCACGTCCAAGAACATGATTATCAATTTTTTGCATGAAGCTCGGTCGTTTTTTCGGTAAATGCTCGCTTTTTGAAAAAATGAAAAATGCAAATTTCCAATTCACTAAAAAGTGGAAGCATTGCTCGAGCGGTAATTTGTCAAAAAATCCAAGTATGCAAATGAACTAATGTTCATTTACATATTTGGATGAAGGCCGTCGCTCGCTGCAAAACGCACTCGTTTCTGATTTTTCGGTAAAGTTGAGTATTTCTCATGCCCATCTGCAGGGCATTTTACCTCCGAGCAGAATTAAAACCGCACTTGAAAGTATAATATCCCAGCGAATTTTCAACCTCTCAGCCCATGCGGTAAGCGAAATATCCATTTTGCTACAAATATCTTCGAAGTGCCCTAAATCGTGGCGCAAGTGCAAAGCGGTACTCATTTTACGTATACGATTTTCCATATGGGCGAAAAACATGCTGACAAAATTTCAGCTACTTATCGCGACCCTAAGGTTTATATTTTTGGACTAGTGCATGCCCTGTGTGTATCTGTGTGTGTAAGACGCCTAGTCATATATACATATTTATAACTACACCAAATATTAAAGGGTAATACAGAAAAGGTGGTGAGGTTCTGGGGAGCCCAAGCTCCCCAGAGCAGGAATAAAAGAAACTAATAGGTTAAGAAGTACTTCACGAGTTGTGGCGATCCCGGCGATGGGGAGGAGTGCTTTTACACCCCATCGGCCAGAGATTACTTAGATAGCGAAAGTTTAAGAAGGATAGGGTGTCCAAAGTTTGAACCAGGGACAGGGGTATCGCGTCATAGTAACCCAGTTGTTCTTTAACCTAATTTTAACAAAAACCATCAATCATTATTTGATCTATGACACACTGTTTTCCGGCAAGTTTTCGAGTTAG